TCTGGATAGAGGGTGTAGTTGAATTTGTTAAGTTAGCCTGAGTGTCCATGGTGAAAGACCAGAAAATTGCGCGGATAGGTGTCGAGCCTTCTGGTTAATACCGCTAAAAATGGCAGTTTGGTAGTACTTATATAGTCTACTTGCAGACACCATCCTAGGGATTACCAGTGTCGTATTTACCGCCCCTTTATGAATTAAAACTGGAAGTTTGGAAATTGATGAGATTGTAAAAGTGTTATTGATAAACATGGTGATCTTCAAGAAAAGCATGGTAAGTGATTATTTTTGAAATGGCACTGCATGGCATTTGCATTTGCATTTTTAAAATTTGAATATCTTACATAAATGTATATACTTTGTTAAGGTCTCTCTACCGGGCTTTTGCTCACCCCTATGGGACTTTGGTGCAGGTAAAGATGTGGTGATCCCGCTGAACTGAGGGTATGGATACTTTTTTGTGAAGAGCAAATAGCTCTCTTACTTTTGTCGTAAATTTTATAAATCCAAGGGCTAAATTTGTGTTGGTCCGAGAGACCATTTTGTGTAACCGGGCTATTGCCTTGGAAGATGTAAGCCGTTAAGGGCATTTGAATTATGTGTGACTAGATGATTCACATGCTATAGATTCATGTGTTCTTTGATTCGTTGAATGTATACCGCATGTGGAACTTTTGTATTAAACTCATTTATTAAATATGTGAAGAGGGAAGGATTATTGTTGTTGTTAGTGATTGTTCATTAATGTGGGTAGTTCATGTTGAATTATTTTGGGGCGTTACATGAAGCCATTTTGCTTTTGAGTCTATTCATGCTTTTGTTTTTCTTATTTGATTGTAACAGTAATGGAACTCGTTTTGTAATTTAAGATTTGAAACACTGTAATTATCATTTGCTTATATATATATATATATATGTTTTGTAATCCTATGCCTATCTCCGCATTACTTATGAGATCATGAGTTAATACCTCTTAAGATCTGTCAAAAAGATAGCTTGCTATCTAAAGTGGTTGGACATAAAAGGGAGACTATATTGACTCCTCCGACCTTCTTGAGATCTTACTTGATTATTGACCAAAGGACTCTTTAGTGAGATTATCCTAACCTTTAGAGTAGAAATTGGGGTGTCACACGCAAACAATATCCTTTGATATATCAGTCAATGTTACCAACATTACTATATTTTTTTTTTTATCCCTACACAAATTTGAGATGCTAACATAACATAAATAAGTAATTAGTGTAACACAAGGATTATGATTCTATTAGCAAAAATTTTGTTCATCCCCAATTCACAGGAACTGTTAAATATGGTAACTATATATTTTATCTATTATATATACTATAGTATATCTATTATCATACTTAGGATTATCGTACTTAGGTCTCTTTCCTCCTAGATAAAAAAAGTCTTGTATATACTATTATAATATTCAATATAATATTCTCTTTCTCTCTCTCTCGTCCTAGCTATAACATTTAAGCTTGTATTTCTTCCTCACCAACAGAAAGCTAGCCGACAACCATGCCTTCGTTGCTCACTGGAGTCTTCTTCACATACTTATGATGCACCATTTTTTTCCGACACCATAGTTGTCCAACCTTCTTCATCCTTTTGTCAACATCATTGCCTTCACTTCGCTATATCTCCCAACTTCAACATTTGCATCGATTTTCTTCTGACCTTAGTCTTCTTCTACACCGATTATGTCCCGGCCATTGTCTTCTTCCCAGCCTTGGGGCCACTTCTTCGCCGGTGCTTTCTCTACTCATCAATTTACTTACTTCTCTCTCATAAGCACAAACCCAAATCTTCAAACTCATCCTCTCTCTCTCTCTGTGGCAATCTACACTTCAATTATTATTATTATTATTATTATTTTCTTCCAATCCAAGCCCGTGTCTTACCTCTTCAGGCCCTGTTTGTTTTCCGCTATCACAGTCCACTCCGGACTGTGATAGATGAATAGTAACCATAGCTCCTATTTGTTTTGATTTTGGGTTCCAGATTTGTAGTCCGAATGGACTATAGATTGGCCTTGGCGAGGGTATTAGCAATCCGGAGTGGGAAATTATGTTAGCAAAGTAATCCGTTCGGATTGGGCGTTACCGGATGTCGGTCCGGAAGTCCGGCTGGTCAATCGGTCAACTAAATTTTATTTTTACTTTTTTTACTTGTTGGGCATTTTTTTTAAAACTTTAATGTTTAATGTTTTTTTTTTATTTGTTTAAATTAAAAATCATAGTTTTATTTGTTTTATTATTTTATATAAAAATAATTTAACAATCTCCACACTAACAATTATTATCAAAACAATACAATTTTACTAATCCCCTTACTATCAATTCCCTCACTACTAATCCCCTCACTATCAATCCCCTCCATTCTATCTCTGCAAACAAACGGGGTCTCATATATATAATATATTCTTCTTTTGTCCTTTTCCACCAACTTTCACCATTTTATTTTATTTTTCAAACGCCCATATGGGCATGTCTCCTCCACTTTGCTAATTTCAAACAAAACATTATTTATTTTGCTTTGTCATAACTCGGGCTTGTTCCCACTCAACCTAAAAATATCAAACAAACAAACAAAAATAAAATTGTACCCAATAATAATAATAATTATAATATTATTATTAACATGTCTCTCCATTTCGATCCATTTCATTTTTTCTTCTACTTCAATATCAAATAGATTTTTTTTTTCAAACTTATTTGAGTTTAAGGGGGGTATTACACCTATATCATAGTGAGCACGATTATACACTATGCAAATCACCCAAGTCGTCCCCCTGGTGCATCAAAACCACTTAAGCTGCCCTCTTGGTGCACTTTCTAAGTCGCTGTCTTGGCGAACCACCTATATAGTCCCCTTAGCGCACTCCCTAAAGCACCCCTTTTCAAATTGCCTTTTGGTGCACATGGTTTCTTTCCAAGCCGTCCCTAGTGCACATGGTTCCCTTCCAAGTCACCCCCTAGCCCACTTTTTCATCTATTACCATCATCATTCAACACCATGTCATAAGTTACGTACATGCCACGCTTACTGGTTCAACACTCGTTCTTTTTCTACAACGTTTCAACACAACTATAAATTGTCTCCTGGCATTAGCTCTATTTGTTTCGACCCTATTCTTACAACGATATGACATTGCCATAAACTATCTCCAGGTATTAGCTCCAGCATCTGATCTATCTCAAGCACTTTTGTGCTCTCATTTGGACTTTGCAATCCACTTGCCTTGGATCTATCTATGTTTTATTTTATTTTTTGATAGCTATCCCAACTTGAGTTTGAGGAGAGGTTAAATGTAGTAACTATACATTCTATGTATCATACATATGGTATTATATTCATTACCATACTTAGGATTATTATACTTAAGTTTCTTTCCTCATATATAAAGGAGTCGTATATACACTATTATAACATTCAATATAATATTCTCATTCTCTCTCTTCGATATTATAACCAAAACAAAACAAAGATTTTAACCAAACAACGAAATAAAATGTCATACGACTGTGTAAAAGTTCTAATGCCTTGAAAGTGTTGAGATATTTTTAATAAAAGTAAAATAATATATTATTTTAATAAATTCAATCAATTGTGAGTTACAAAAGAAACTAGGGCTTTCTAGTAGGTATGAGACCACTGGCCACATAGATGGAAATGGCGGTTCCTAGTAGTAAAGAGACTACTGACCATAATGTATAATTTCTAACAGTAGGCTACTGATTACGAAAATTTGTGATTGGCAATAGTAAGGCTATTGACTACCAAAAATTGGATCAAATATATTTGATGAATCCAATACGCCTTGATTTAATGTTGTCCTGATTTGAAAAATACAAGGATCATATTTGCTCGATAAATCCATGCTGCCATGGTGAAAAATTATATATATTTGTACGATGAGTCTAATTAAAAGTATTTATATGTAAGTCTCTAAGAAAATTGTGGCATGTAATGAATAAAAAATCCTTACTATGAGATATCCATATGATGGAGAAATATGTGTTTTCTAATTAAACCACATAAATGCACAATTATAAATAATAATACTAATAAATATTAAAATGATTTTTAGAATTAAACACAATAAGTTTCATCAGTTTTAATTTTGTAATTGTGGGTATCGAATACCGCACTAGATGATTGTGGATCGGAGCTCCGAATTGATTGGACTATCCAGGAATTGAGACCTTGCGACAATAAGCACCGTTAGAACTGTCTAGCCGAGATTGGCTAGATAACCCCTCCAGTGTGGGAATGAGTAATCGGAGAAGATCAGAGGCACTCTCTTAGTGTAAAGAGTCATGTTTATGTGAGTGTGGTTCAGCTTAGGTCAGTTACCTTCAGTGTGAAGTCAGTGTAGTTTATATAGAACTCCTTACTTGTTACCCAAGATGGTTTCATAGAGCTCTGATGCTGCAAAGTTTCCTTTAGCATTGTTCAAGGTAGGGGACCATCTGTTAGTTGACAAGGGGTGTATATACTCATTGTAACCATGCTTGTAACAGATCATATTCCTTTGATCAACTGTTTCCATGATTCTAGGGGGAGGGGACCAGCTGAGGTGGCACCCTCCATGTGCATGCATTCATAGCTTCCATGTTTCTCTGTTGGGTTCTTCTGGCACGGTATTGTTTGTAGAGATCGGCTGGCCCAATAGAGTATCTTTGTATGGGCTCGGCCCCTTTTGGGTTCGGTCCAAGGATCAGATCTTGCAGTTCAGCCCAGCCCAGCATCGTGGCTGGACTGACCTTTCCACTACAGGTTAGGCCCAAGTGCATGAGGACTTGGGTGGATTGTTGATGATGTAACTGCGCTAATCTAACTGGCCCACTTGTTTACCTTGCTCCTCAGGACTTAAATCTAATGGATTGGGCCGACCCAAGACTTGGATCCGACCCATTTTATATTTAGTCCCTTCAGTAATGATGTTAATAATAGATAAATTGGATATAATATTATTTTTATTAAAATATCCCTACATTCACAACAATATATATACACATTTATTAATTAATACCAAACAAAGGTTTTATTTAAATTACAATGCAAACCACATTCACAACCATACTACACATTAAAACCAAACTAATGTTGGTTTTAAATTACACTGCAAACTACATTCACAACCATATATAAATATTCTCTTAATTAATACCAAACAAACTACATGATTTTAAACTAATGGCATCGATTATATATTTTAGAGATTTAGTTAGGAAGCCAGACAATATTATCTTGACGAAGAGCATGGCAAATAGGAACAGTTCCTGGCTTAACCTTGAGAATTTGAAAGGCCAAGTGCTTGGGATTCCATGCCGATGTATTTTTATGACACACCACTGCACCTTTTGCTTTCGTCCCATCTGCACCTTCCAACGAAAGCATATATGTCTCGGTGGAGCAAATAATGTGGCAATAAAAGACCGCATACGGGTAATTTAGCTTATGACACACTACTGGGCCATCTCGTCCTCCTCTTCCAATCTTTTTGAATCCTGATATACGATACTCCTGCGATTTTTCTAACTCAGTAGAGAATGCCTGGATATTTTTGCCAAACATGGAAGTGCAGAAATCGATCATGGACTCTAATGAAGTTGCACAATATTTCTGCTCTCCTTGAAAGCTAGACCTCTCACAGCATTTGATTGTTTCCTTGATAATCTCGGCTTCAACTGAATTGGGTTTTATCAAACATCGGTTCAGAATTTCCAGAAATTTGTTCGAGGAAAAAGGAATCATCTGAGCAACTTGTCTGGGTAAGAAAGTAACTCCATCTGTTTGTGTTATCGTGGAGAGGTTTAATTTCATCTTTGTGCCTTGTTTGATGTCCTTCTCCAAAAAAAAAGTTGAGCCGTAGTGTAATGGTTGTTCGTACACATTACCAGTATAGCTAATATAATAGTACAGATCCCAAGGATACTGATGGTTCCTAGGCCCCCCAAGGTTCCAAGGCTCAAGTCCTCGGCCAGGAACAACATTGCCTTCTGCACATAGTCAAAAAAAATTACGATTTTTATAGTGAAAGTTATAAAATTTTGTGATAGAAATTACGATTTTTGTGAGAAAAATTATGAATGAAAAATTATGGTGTGTGCATCTTTAAAGTTAGGACAAAATCTGCTTTACTTCTCTATGATATGGCTCAATAGCACTTTTTCACTTTTTTTTTAAAAATAGTTGTATACCCTTATACGATTTTAGACTAAAATACAACCTTAACTCCATTAATGTTAGCAATAAAAAGATAATTATACCCTTCTATATCTTCTTCTACTTTTGCTCCTTTTTGTAAGTAAATAAATAAATTTATCTCCGTGACTAAAAAAAAAAAAAAAATACTACACAAAAATCATTTAAGAAACTATAGAGTTTTTCAAATATTTTTTTAACAAACTTAAATTATAATTTTAATAAATATTATGATATACATGTATATAACACTTATATATATATATAGACACTGTAATTAGTTTATAATTTAATTTGTTAAATATATATATACATGTTTAATTTAAAATATTATTAAATAATAAATTGGGATAAAAATTAAAAATTAAATTAAGTTTTTTTTAGGATTTAATTTGTTATATATGTGTATATGTTTCATTTAAAATGTTATTAAAAAATATAATTTTATGATAATAAATTAGGGAATTTAGTTTAATTTGTGAGTTAATTTTTTATATATATGTTTATGTTTATTTTAAAATATTATTAATAAAGAATTGGATTAAAAATTAAAAGTTAGATTAACATAGTTTGATGATTAATTTATAATAATAAATTAAGGTATTTAGGTTAATTTAATTTTTTTCATATATAATATGTATGTTTAATTTAAAATGTTATTAAGTAAGGAATTCAGATAAAAATGTAAATATGACTAGTTTTGTCCTTTTAAATTACAATTTAATTTTGACTTTTTTTTTTTCTCCCCCACTTTCAAAATAGACATGTGAGACACACGCTTCATTAGTATACATGGAAATTGGAACTATAGCATTCTAGTAAGCTACATAGGAGATATGTTTCTATTTTTAAAAGACTAGAAAGTAAAGTCCAATCGAGTTATACCACAATGGATTTTACCCTTAACCAACTAGGCCTAAGTTACTTTACCACTATGACTCTTCTAAGGGCTTAGTTCTAAACGGGAAGTCATGAGTTTAACTCTCTCTAAGGGGAATTGAATTAGGTGGCAAGCAAGGATATGGAGGCTAACTCCCATAGGTGCTAATTTAAGAACTAACAATTGATTTTTGCTGATAAAAAAAATGAATAAGAAAGTTATATATATTTTATAAAAGTTAAATTTTTTGCAATAAAAATTATATATTTTGTGATATAAATTATTTTTAATTTTTTTTTTGTACATAGTGCATACTATATCCATCATTTTGGGTGCACATCGTAACTTTTCTCTAAATACTACAATGTGTGCTCCTAAAAAGATGCTCCAATGGTGTAATTTACCATTGATTTTGTTGTTTTTTTGTAAACAGGTGACAGAATAGTTTTTTCACCTTGGAATCTCACCCTCACTATGATAATGCTAATCCCACCCTTGAATGAGATTAGTAGTCCCATAGGATTAACAAACTCGTGCTATTTTAACACAACCAAACATGAATTTGGTAATCCCAAAGATGTTTAGTCCAATTTTTTATATTTTAATGTTGTGTTTGGATTATGGATTTAGATAAATATTTAAAAAATTATAAAAAGAAAAAAATATATATGAAGATATGAATGAAACATAAGTTCATTTTTTATTATTTTTTTTTTGCACTTTTCAAATTTATATCCAAATTCATAATTGAAGCATAACCTAAAATTCCAAACAAACATTTAGACATAAGGGAGTGTTTGGCTGAATTTGAAGACCAACCTAAGGGTAGAAGATTCTTGACAGTCCTAGGCATGGGAGTGTTTTGCAAAACCATGTTCCAGTAAGCTTCGGGAGATACTACTGCATTCCCTGCCACCAGTGTCAACTGAAAAAATAAATAACAAAAAAAAAAAAAGAGAAGGAAATTTTTATTACCAAACTAGAGAAGGAAAAAAAAAATAATCCATTGCAAACTTCTTGTAATAATAAATTATTGGGATGTGGGTTGGCTTTTTGATTATTTTAGCCTAGGGCTAAAATGTCTCGTTTGGAATAGACTTTTTAGTTTTTTTGACTTTTATGAGAGAAAAAATGAATGATTATAGTTTGGATGTAATGTTTTGTCTTATTAGACTAAAAAAACTTATTGTCTTTTTGTGACTAAAATAGTCAAAAATCTAAAAAGCCTGACATGCCAAACAATGGCTAGTTGGTTCAGTATATATGTTTATGTGATGTATCGTTACAATTATATGGGGCGACGTAATTTTTTTTTTTTTTTAACTATTTTATGTTTTAGACAAATTAATTATGTGTTCCTTTTAGGTTCCATTTGATTAGAAATAAATAAATAAATAAATGAGTGAAAATGATATAAAGTGAAGTGAAAGGAGAAAAAAAAATGAAGTGAAATAAAAGAAAGGAAAAGAAAATATACTCATTTTTTCTTTATGAATTTGATTACGACGAAAATTTTGAAAGAAAATAAGAAATGTAATTATAAGTAATTGCTTTTATAATAAATTAATTTTTTTTAATATTTTCCTATATTTTTTGTAAAGAACAAGAGTTATCATACTATTACGAGTTGTGCATGAAAAAAAAAAATTTAATTTTTTTTAACTTTCACCACTTTAATACTAAACAAACTTAGAAGGAAAAAAAAGATTTATATTATTTTTATATTTTCATCACTTTCTACCATTTTCATCCTAACTAAACTTTGATATACTTACTACCATTTTCATCCTAACTAAACTTTGCTTTAGCTATAAGGTGTACACTGACTTGATAGGTCAAATTTATCGTATAATATTTCATAACATAAGTATGATTTTAAAAATCGGTTGGTTAGATGACAGAAAGTATATATCCCTCATATATTTCATGGCGAGTAATGTTATTGAGGCCTAAAAATTAAACTCGTTTTTCAAACATAATGATGGGTATGTTTGGGACGTCATTTTTGGGCTTTTTTTAAGTTAAAATAGTATTAAAAGATAAAATAAACTAAAATAATTACTAAGACAAAATGTCATATCAAATTTATAATCATTTCACTTTTTTTATTACAAACATCACATCCAATTACAAAAAAAATTCAATCCTCGCCCCAAACACAACTATTTTAGCCTACTAAAATAACCAACTTCCCAAACACCCACGATGTATGTTTTAAAACATATATTTCTTGATGAGTATTAGAGACAGAATATTTAAGTTAACTTTCTCTAATATTTCCTCTAATTATTAATCAATTATATGTTTTACATATCATTGAATTAAAAAAGTGAGTTATATATTATTTTGCTTCTATGATTCCATCATCATTGTTTAAGAAACAAATACAAAAGTTGGAGAAAATGGTTTCTTAGAAATGTGAATTTGGAAATTTAAGCACTTAACTGAAATAAATGTGAAGATGGGGAGGAAATTGAACTCCATTGAAGCTGAAAATCTTTGAAACAACTGCAAAATGTAAGAGACTGGATTATGGATAGTAAACTACAAAAATATGTCGGAATTTATAAGAGGAAATTTGTACCCTTAAAATATTGCTTGTATACCAATCAATAGCAAAGGATTATATGAATATATGATCCTAATTACATGAAAATAGTGAATAAACTATAACTTATCATTGGTCGAGCACATGAACACCTACTAAATCATTTTTGCTTAAAAAGGCACATTTAAAAAAATTTACTATTTTTATGGGGAAAGTTTTCAACATTTGTGATTTGTGTTATGTTAATTTGTATTAAAAGTTATACATGACAAACTTATCATGTGATGATGCAGTTTGGTCAATAGGAGATGGGTTGGACATGATCCAGAAGCTCTAAGAGTCGGCTGACCTTCGTCTTCCCAGCAGCACCTGCAACAAGTCCAATAGAAAGGTTCTAAAGTAGGAGTGGTTCCCTCTTGAGGACCCTCCGACGATCAAGTTAGTTAAGTATATAGAGAGAGGGAAGAGACTTAGAAAGAATTGAGAGCAGAGTGAGAGAGTGTGTGGGTGATTTTTTTACCAAATGTCCTTCAGCTTCCCTATATCTCTTACCAATCATTCCCTTATCCATTCACGCAGTTCTATTGGTTGAAAGTCTATGCCCTACTTGTCATCGGCCATGGCTACTTCACCACACCTCAAGGGAAAGCGACATTATTATATTTAATGCTTGACAGTATCATTTAATGCTTGGCATGTGAGGACCAATGGCTTGTAAGGTTTTTGTATTCCATGTGGCCAATTCCCTGCCTTACATGTACCCAGCTGGTAGTTGGGTTTGGCTGCCATGGGTTCTCTAATTGAGCCCACTATTGGGCCTTATGATAATTAATCAAATGGTTATCTGGGCGGCCCATGCAGATCACAGGTTGGGCCCTCCTAGGCCGTGCCCATTAGTAGTCTCCCGTTCTTGAGTACACCTTTAGTCCAACAAAGGGCATGAAAACAGTAATAGTGGTCCCCCCAGTCGTGAAGAAGGGACCGACCAACCACCTTATGGCGAGAGAGCGAAGAAACCAACTGCGAGGGCTGACCGCGGAAATACGATAGATCACTGAAGATGGTTGACCGCTAAATATGACTGACTACTAAAACTGGCCAACCATTGATAAATCCGAATCTGGCTGATCGATGGATCTGGCTAACCGGCAGACCTGGCTGACCGATGGGACTGACTGACTGACAGATCTAGCCGGTCGCCTCCTAGAATGTAGTCTAATCGCTAGGCGCTTGAGTGCTTATGTTATGTGCAGGAATCGATGAATGGTGATCCACATGATGACATGATTCGTGGGTCCATATTCAATGATGGATTAGACATGGGGCGAAAAAACATGAACAGTGGTTAAGAGGACTAATCTAGCCCGTTCACGTGGAAGAATCTAGCCTGCTGATGTAGAGTTGAACTGTTTTGAATGTGAAGGGTTTTCTGAAGTGTGTGAATTTGAAGAGTTTGGCCATTAACCAACTGACTTTCTTCTTTCCTTCCACACTTAGCAATTTTTCAAACTGGCAAACTTTGATTGAGATCCTTGGAATACTAGCAAACCCTAGGCCTTCTCATTTGTGCGATTTACACACTTAATCTCAAAGAACCAAATCATTCCAAACTTCTCTTTCTTTGTCTCCCCTGACTCCCCTATCTACCATATTTCTGATTTCTTAGCCTCTGCATTTGAAACCATATAATGAAATATGAGATAGATGGAACGAGAGAATCCTCATTCCCTAGTTATCGACCCACTCAGTGACGACGATGGAGTGGCCCTGCAAAAAATGTACAAGGTGGAGAAAATTGTAGAAGGGAGAGCAAAGAGGTCGTCTCACCCAATCTATTCAATAATGATTTCAATTGCTCAATCCATTAACTAGGTGGCCCCTGACCACTGGCATACGAGGCGAATAAATCAACGTTGATGGCTTTGGATATAGAGGAGATTCGAACAAAGTATGAAATTCCTGAAGATATAGAGCTAAGGTTCCCTACAATTGAGGAAAGAACTTCTGACGTTAAGCCAATGGAGTTCTTCTTATATAAGAAAGCATTACGTAGGGATCTGAGGCTACCACTCTCCCAACTCGCATCGATGTCTTGAACTGGTTAGAGGCGACACCAGGCCAGTAAGTGTCAAACGCCTGAAAAATCTTGTTCGCAAGTGAAATTTCTTGGCCACGGGCAACTGAAAGGGAGAACATGACAATAAATGAGTTCTTTTCCCACTACAAGGCATTTCGCCAGCAAGAGACTTGGGTAGCCCCCCAAGTAGTTTTCTGGCAGGAACCTAGTAATTGGGCTGTCCTCTTCAGTAAAGAGACGGAGGACCAAGTGGTTTTACGTATCTGTAAATGGTGGTAGGGGAGTTCGAACAACCTGAAAGATTTGCACCAAGTCAGTAGAGCCAACCTTGACCGTTGCAAAAGAGCAGAGAGTGCAGATGGTCAAGAAGTTCAAGGACAAGTAGGGGCTGAAGTGGGTTGACTTGGCAAGACCCTCTACCTTGTTTGCCCTTGGGTTGGGTCATGAGCCTGCCGATGAAGGCCCCACTCTTAAAGAAGTAAAGGCAAGGAGGATGGCTCAAGAAGTTAAAGATCGACGAGCGTTTGCTGTAGATGACATATTGGAAGAGAAGAAATTGAGCCCTGCCCCAAAACGATATGCCTATAAGGTTGCTCACCTCCATCCAAAGGCGGCCTTGGTCGAGCAGGACTTGAAGAATTTCATCCTTTTTGAGCCCTTAGTTGATCCCATTAAGCAGAAAAATAAATCTAAGATGAAGCGACTGAAGAAGAAGAGGGTTACTCCAAAAGATGAAAAAGAATGGTAGAAGTCCAAGAGGGCAAGGGAGGTGGTTGTTGAGCCAGTTGGGGTGGCAGAGCAGAGGTAGGAGACTGAGGCTCTTAGGCTTGAAGCAGAAGCGAAGAGGGCTGAGGCTAACCCCTTTGTTGTTGTATTGGTTGATTTGGGCCAATCTGAAGAAAAAGAGTCTAACCAAGTGGCTAATCCCCCGCAATCAGAAAAAGCAAATACTGTAAAAAAAGAAACAACTAAGGTTGAGTAAACGGCAGAGACTAAGCGCCTAGTTGAGATGGTGGGCAACACTACTCGGCACTAGAGCGTAGTGGTCAGCGTGCCCATAACTAACCCTGGCGAGCCTTCTAACGTATTGGGCAATGTGAAGGCCGCGTATGAAAAAATACTGGGGGCGGTTGACGATGCAGCCATTAGGGATCTGTCTTGGTTTGGGGAGGCCAAGCTAATGACAGCATTCAACTCTATGCACATGGAGTCTCTAACCCTAGCAGTCGCTCTGTTGGGAAAAGGATTGATGGCAAGGTTGGATCTGGGGTAGACCAAAGCCTAAGCAGAGCAAGCTAGGTCTAAGTTGCAGATGGCGAAGTCAGAAATCAAACGCTGGCATAAACTGGCATGGAATGCTTGCGCCAAAGGAATCCTACATACTCAAAACTGTAAAAATAATAATAATAATAATAATAATAAATAAATAAAAATAAATAAATAAATTGAAGTATTGGCCATTGTGTAGAGTCACGTAGCCGATCACATAAGAATTAAGCAGGCTACGACAGTTGCAGGGTTGAGGAAGGTGAGAGGAAAACTCGCCCCGTTTGAGTTGACTAAGAAAATATTGCTGATGTCAAGGCTCAGCTAGGTCAGTCTGCAACTGACTTAGAAGTTACTCGCCATAGAATAGTGGCCGTGGGGTTTGAAGCAGCTGCTGAGCAAAAGAAAACGGCTGAAGCCCAGCAGGCTTGTACTATGGTCAGAGAGCAACTAGAAGAAGCGCTAAGCAACAATGAGGAATTACGTGATCTATTTCTGAAGGAGAAGGAAGAAAAAGACATGCAAATTGCTGATTTGATGAAGAGTCTGGCTACTGAGAGGCCTACCTTGGAGGCATAGAGGGCCAAAATGCAGAGCTTGCAACGTCCCTATCTTTTAAGTGTGCCGCCTACCCTGACTTCTATGTAGCTGCTGTTGAACAGTTTAAGCAATCCTTCGAGTTTCAAATGACGATAGATATAGCTGTGGCAGCAAGCTTGGCGAAGGAGGGGGATGATGGGGCTAGTCCTTATAGCTCCAGAGGTGCTGAATTAGTGGAAGGGCAGATTAAGGCCTAGATTATCGAAAGCTTCCAGCAGTCGGACTACTTCAAACATCTGTTGAGTGGGTACTGGGATAGCGGCTAGGTAAAATTCAGGCAAATGGCTGAGCTGACATTCCCTCACATCGACTTCGACCTTGTTCAATCTAGAGATAGAGATACTGTCTGCACTCCATTGGATGAAGGGGTAGATGAAGAAGGAGATGGAGGGGAGGGGAAGGGGAGCGTAAGTTCTGCCTTATATTGTTATTTATTTATTTATTTTTACCTTGTAAAATTTTATGTTGTGTAATGAATTTTGAGATGTATACAATATAGCTTTGTACCTTGTAATGATTGTTGAGATGCATATAATACAGCTTTTTGCCTCACATGTTACAATTTGCATTGTTGTCTGAATGATCTTCCTACCTTTGACTCTGGATTTAAATTGGCTAACAACTGCTAGATCATCACTTGTAAAAATTTGACATTTGAAAATTAGTGAAAACTAAAATTAAACTTGTAAAAATTGGTTGTGCTGATCACCAAGCTTTTAATTAATACTCAATAATCTCTAAGCTTTCATACTTAACTTTGAGGAGTTGAACTGGACTGATCACAAATCAATCAAGGTTACCCAAAAAATTTGAACAACATTAGTGCCCTGACTTGTGAAAACCTAGTTTAAAAAGGAAAATTTAACTTGCAAAAGAGGATTTTGGCCTAAGAGGCTATTTTTTCATTCTTATCTTGCTTCTACTATGCTGACTTTGACAGACCAAATTCAGGCCACATTCGGGCTTGTTTGATAACCTTGCGAGGTCAATTGGTGTTTAGTCTTGCTGAGTGCCTTG